TGCTGAACCTGACGTCGTTCAATATTCACTTCTTCTGTTGTTCTGGTGGTCTCTGCTTGGGCTTAGGCCCCTTTCGCCGTGCTACACTGGCACTAGAAAGCATACGCTAAGGAAAAATACAGGTCCCTGCCCCAAGGAACGTGCAAGCTAAATGTTGACGGTGAAAGGAGGCAATAAAGAGACAGGAGAGAAAGGGCGAGCTGGGCCAAAAAGGGATCAGAGAATCCCTTTCTGCAGAATGACGCACTGCATTATCAGTACAGCTCGGATACCTCGCCCTCGTCCCCCTTTCCAAAGGCAGTGTTCTGTGCCACGTCTTGTGTTTCTGAGTCCTGCAGCATGCTGTGTTCTTGGCCTCCCCGGGCATGCTCAAGATGAACTGGTTGATGGAGCCGTGAACCTTCAGAGGAAACAGCCTCGGTTCTCGGTGTGGAGTGGACCAGTGCCGCATCAGGCAGAATATGCCCACGAGCCAAAGTACAATGGAGGGTGGAAACAATTTGGCAAGGTGAGATCTGAAGAACGCAGGAATCCTGCCCACCTCAGTATATCGGGGTGTGAAAAAAATGTCTATATGCTAATAAGGAATATTCTCCACTTCCATAGGTCAAAGGGGGGACATATGAATGGTCTGGAAGCCAGCTAGGCGGAGTGATCTCTCTCTCTCTCTCTTTTTTTTTTGGTCCTCCAAAGGGGGATTTTTTAAAATTTGCATTTCTATAAACTACAAACTATAAAACCACGACGAAATCAGGATAGGGAACTACATACTATAGGAGAAAGTAAAGAAAACCCTCTAAAAACCGAAGAGATAGTGATTTTACATACTGCTTAAAATTATAAGCTTACAACATTTAAATGTTTTAAAAAATTATTTGAATGTGGTCATCAGATCAATTAAAGCTGACAATATGATTTTAAACACCTCTGCTTCTAACTTCTTACTAAAAACAATATAAGACTTATATCAATATATTTTGGTCACTTTCAGAGTGTAATATCACCAGTTTGGTGTAGTGGTTAAGTGTGCGGACTCTAATCTGGGAGAACTGGGTTTGATTCCCCACTCCTCCACTTGCCCCTGCTGATGTGACCTTGGGTCAGTCACAAGCTCTGGCACAGCTGTCCTTGAAAGAGAGCAGTTTCTGTCAGAGTTCTCTCAGCCCCACCCACCTCACAGGGTGTCTGTTGTGGGGAGGGGAAGGGAGAGGAGTTTGTAAGCCGCTCTGAGACTCCAGGTGAAGGGCAGGGTATAAATCCAATCTCTTCTCTTCTTCTCTTCTTATTTTGAATGTTTTGTCTTTCTCAAATGATAGCTAGTCTTCAGGTCAGCCGCCCCTTAGGCTGAGTGATCTAAGTGGCATTGGCAGCACTGCAGAGAACTATCTGGGAGGCTATCGTTGTCACTGAAATCTGGTGCGGCTTCCACCTGGCAGTTGGTGGCTCTCTAGGGCCACTGAGAACTTTTATTTATTCATTCATTTATTTTAATTCTCGGATTTTTATCCCGCCCTCCCCAAAGCTCAGGGCGGGTCGCAACAAAACAGAGTTGGAGACTCGTTACAATAAAATTACATTACATTAAAACAATTAAAACAGATGTGGAAAACTATTAGATATCTGAGGTCCACAAACTATAAAGAAAACATTCTTAAGATGCTCCATAGATGGTATTGGACGTCGGATGGAGTAGCCAAATGTCATAAAAATGTTCCTAATATTTGTTGGAAATGTAGTGGTAATGTAGGAACTTTCTTTCATATGTGGTGGCGTTGTGGTATTATTCAAAAATACTGGTCTAAGATACAAACAAAATGCTATCTGAGATGATGGGAACAAATATAATTTTAACACCTGAAATGGCTCTGTTAAACATAATTCCAGATAGATTTGAACAGAGAGATGTGTATTTATTGATATATGTATTAACTGCAAGAATACAGTTAGCCAAATATTGGAAAGTAGAAAAGACTCCGTCAAGAGAAGAGATAAGGGTTAAGCTTTTAGAGTTGATACAAATAGATAAACTGAATTTGATATTACAAGGGAAAGATGATTGTATACATAGCAATAGATGGGCTAGAGTATATAAATGGATAAAGGAAACA